ATTTGTTGTACAGGTTATCGACGCTCTCTGGGGATGCGATATCCACCGTCGAGGGAATAAATGTGGTCTCTGGATAAGTCTTTTCGAGTGAAGCCTTGGTGGAGAGAAGACTAGACTCGGAGCGGCCGGTGAGGATAATGGTTTTGGCCTGCGCTTTGGCAAAGGACTCCACAATGTTGATGCCAATACCACGACCACCGCCCGTAACGAGAACGACTTTGTTTTTCACGCTGAGCTCGGGTTTAGTTGGGTCCTATATACGAATACACGTCAGAGAGGGGGCAATGATCGGAGACCCGAATTCTTACGATAAAGGGGTACACGTCGTGACGAGTGCTCTCGTTGAACAACACGCGAGAAGGACCACTTTCGTTCGAAGTCATCGTTTTGAACGTAAGCTTGAAAGTATTGGATTCGGGTTTGGAATTTGGGACTGGGTGAGTGACTGCGATACAGAGATGCCTTCCAAAGTCTGCTTTTATAGAGCTTCCTCCATATGTAAACACGTCATCTTGTCCTTCCAAACTTTCTCCTTATGCGTATGAGCAATTTATGCTAGTATAGCGAGAAACAAGGCGGAAGGTCAATAGACGAGCGGGGATCAGAAATAGACTCAAGCGCTATACAGTTTGGTTAGATTGATAGGATGCAACTGTTGACAGCTTACAAAGCTTTCGTCTTCCCTATAGTACGAAGCAATGGGAGGCCTCCCTGTTCTGGCTCCTGTATGAATGCTGACTAACCCCGAGCGAATTGTGACCACCAGACGATGACACCCCGGCCTCCAATTGCACGCATCAGATTCAAGTCGATGGACAGTTACCTGGTGCAGCGGGCTACGTGTTGAGCAAACTACCTGCCGTCAAATTAGTCCAAATTTTGAATTCTGGTTTGTGATCCCCTTCCCTCGTCCCCCTCGATTAAATTCTCACAAACTGATTCTAGAGTATGAGAACATTCGTGCATTCAGTTTCCTTCCCGGCCTTGTGGACACCGATATGCTCCTAGAGGAATACAAGTCCTACGCCACTGAGAAACGTAGGCCACTTTATACACCCGTTATTTGACAGCCTATTGATACTTCTCATTTCAGCTGGTCTGAGTGGTGGGCTTTCCGTGTGGCTCTGTAGCCCTCAGGCCGATTTCCTCTCCGGTCGGGTGATTGATGCGAGGTGGGATATGGAGAAGGTTGTAGCACAGAAGGATGAGATTGTTAAAGGGGACTGGTTGAAAATTTCCGTCTCGGGCTACTAGGTACTTGGTCTCTAAGTCGTTAGGACGCCATGTATTACACCAGTGGTTTGAAGTGTATGAATAAAGTCATCGAATGTTCATCATCGTATAATAGCCTCATTATGTAAAAATTAGCTTCAGGATAATGAACTAGAATTCGAAACGTGTCGCGCCGACTCTGCCCATTTATTTAGCGCTAGCTTTGTTCCCGACTTCATGAACCTATTCATCCCCAACCACAAAACTACCAGAGCATAAACTCCTAAAATGACCCGTAGGAAGCAGGTTATTATACCAGCAGGATATGTACAGTTCCCATTAAATAGGCGACATTCGAACGAACGGCCCAGACTTCGATCTTAGCGAGCCCCACTTCTCTAGCCAAAAAACAGGTACTACTCTCAAGGACCCAACAGAGTTTTTTCTAACCACCAACACGTGGGGTATACTCACTGTATGTATCGAGAAGATTAGAAGCAGGGTGCAGTTAGCTACGCCCGTCGCGTCTACACTGTCGTCATTTGATCTACCGTCATTCATACGTCGACTCTTACATCAGAATGCGCATGATTCGAAACTGGCAATCTAATATGGTTGCGATCTTCCTGCGGCTAGGGACGCTATAAAGGTACGACACACCACTATGAGGATGAAAACATCGGTCAATCCGAACTCTACCACACCAAATTATAATATCACTCAACGAACTTGCTTCCTCCCGTCCTTTCTTTACAAAGGACTTTCACCGGGATGTCTACCCGTTCATTGTATGCACCACTTCTCTCGTATGACCTATTCACTGCGTCTTCTAATAAAATACTCTACAGGACCCTTCTAAACCAGAACTCGCCTTAAAGGATAAAGTCGTACTCGTCACAGGTGGTGGCCGCGGTATTGGTGCCTCCATTGTGGAAGCGTTTGCCAAAGCTCATGCCAAAGTCATTGTTATGACTGGTCGCTCCGAGTCCAGTCTCGCCAATGCCAAGAATTCTCTTGAGAAGGCATATCCAGAGACCAATTTTATCCCCGTTAGCGTGGATATCAGTTCTGAAGATCGCGTGAACAGCCTTTATGAGAGCTTGAAGGACAGATTCGACCATATTGGTGGGCTTTTTATTCATTTCCATTCAATATATGCTAAGTAGTCAATGAAGACATCCTCGTGAATAACGCAGGGGTACTCAACGAGTTTGGCCCCAAGGTGGGCGAGACGAACATAGACAAATTCTGGGCCGATATGGTAACAACTCCATGCTTCTGTGTATGCTCAAATTCCTATTTACTCGCATTTTTTAGACCGTGAACACCAAAGGGCCTTATTTACTCTCCTGTGGGCTTATTAAGTTTAACCCAGACAACTATCGTGCAACGTTTATCACTTTCACCACGTCTATCAACGAAGAGTTCACAAACGTGTCTGCCTACCAGCTGAGCAAGATCCCTCCCATCAAACTCGTCCAGATCTTGAATGCAGGTTTGTCTCCTCTTCAATGCACGTGTTTGGGGACCTAACTATATCATGTCCAGAGTATCCTAATATTCGTGCATATGCTGTTACTCCAGGTGTGGTGGCTACAGATTCGCTCTTGGACAGCTTCAAACCGTTTGCTCATGACAAGTGTTCGTCTCCATTTACTCCCTTTCCGAGATGTCCACTTACTCTG